CTGTAATGTTCTGCATATGAATTTCTACATGATTCTTCTTCAGTTGCATTTGCTTCTAGTAGGCCTACTATACACTTAACTCGACGTTACCCCCCCCCCTTCCCAGTCTGCTGTCGGTGGTTACTCCACACCACGATATTTTCGTGCTTTGCCAATTCTGTGGCTTTGAAAAGTGGATGCCCAGCGTTGCCAAACGATTAAGTCAGTCTCGTATAATCGATACTTAATACTGAGAAGAACATGAACTCAAAATTACTAGTCTCAGAGGGAGTTTCATCTTGGTAGAATTTTTAATATTTAGTGTAACGATGAAGGCCTTAACAATTTATTGTGAATAGGTATTTATGTACACTGAGCTGAAGACTTGCAGCTCTGTTTTAAAGCGTTCAGTTATTTCAAATTTACTCTGTCTAAAGTACGATTATTTTTGTGGGAAACAGGTCAATGTTCTCGTTTTGGCAGTTTTAACTTTAGTTTGCATATAAAGACAAACCTTTGCTGTTCATCTTAGAGCGGTTTCGTTTGTTTAACCGGTGATTTTATTGACGTTCTGCATGACAATATTATCGAATAACGGAGCTTGGTGATGTGAGTAACCTGTTTTGAGGTTCAACCTGTCTGCTATGCGATGAACTAACAAACCGTTAAGTTCCTAAACCCTCCTGAAATTTTCATCTTCCGCAGCTATTTTTGAGCTTTCATGCAGAACCACCTTGTCTCAAAGAAATAACTTCAGAGCGCAACTCCTTGAACTTTGAATCTAGCGTTTATATCTGTCTCGACTCTAATACCACCTGCTAAACAATGCTTAAACTCAAGACTGCTACTGATCGCTGTTAAATTCGATTGCAGCGTCCAACCACAGCTGTGGCCGTCGCCGTACTTTGTAGGCGAATTTTTCGGTAAACATAAACTCAGTTCAGCTCTCCTCGTGCTTGACCTAACCGGCCCCAACTCGCGACGATTTATGGCGGTGGAGTTCGACAGCGTTAGAAACCGATCCATTAACCTAACTCGAGATTTCCAGTTACTGTTCGTGCTCGTCAGAGAACGCGGGAGTCTTTCAATCAGTTACTGCGCTGACCACTAGCTTATGTTGGTGCTTGGACGAAAACAACAAGGGCGTTAATAAAGCACCCCATTTAGTAGTATGTCATTGAATGTTTATCACCTAATTGCATTTTATGACTCGTAGAAAAGGAGTTGCATAAGCTGTTGTTCAAGTGGGAGCTGATTCTTGTGAGCATGATTTCTGGATAGCCTCAGTCGGAGATTTGAATTCCATGTGGATGGCAGACGTCCTCATTATACATTTAAAAAATATGAACCGTCAATCTTTGAGTAAGATTGTCGAGGAAAGTTCCAGCGTCTACCACCAAAAGTCCGTTCTTTATTTGAAAATGTACACCACTCACTCCACGATTGCGCAGCATCATAAAGGCGCTTGAAAATGCACCATTTGAAAAGTACTTACCTGACCGTTTTGATGCTAAAGGACCAGTTTAGAAGGGTAAACAGCTTACACTAACTACTGCCTATTCCCCAGACTTCGCCCAGGACTTTTTCAGGATTCCGAGAGGACAGTTTCCCATTTCTTGTAGGAACAGTGACATTATTTGGACTGCCAAGCAGATAAACGTTCGGTACTTGCGCCTGCGTCCTCATTCCTGACTTCTGTACTCTTTGCCAGC